AAAATAAAGGGGCAAATTAATTTGATCATCATTGAGTTACATGATGTAACATTTAATGTTCTTTGTAATACATCTTATTTTTTGTTGATCAATAATTAAGTAATTACAAATTTTTTTGATGAAATGGTAACAGTATGATGGAAAAAAAGCAAAAAAATGGTTGCTCTATTTAGATGCCAATAACTTATATGGTTGGGCAATGTCGCAATATTTACCAATCGGTGAATTTAAATGGCTATCAACAAAACCTTTGGAAGCATCTCATCCTTTAATGCAGAAAATTTTAACAATAAAAGAAAAATCAAATCAGGGATGTTGCTTAGAGGTTAAGTTAACAATTCCTAAAGAGTTACATCCAAAATTTCATGATTATCCAATGTGTTCAGAATGAAAGAATGTACCATATGATTGATATAGTTCAAAACAAAAAGAATGGGCAGATAAACAACGTTCAGATACAGAAAAACTTATTCTAACTCTCCATGATAAAGATTATTATGTTATTCATTACAGGAATTTACAACAATGTATAAGAGAAGGATATGTTCTCAAAAAAGTATATCAGATTCTAGGATTTGATCAATCACCATGGATGAAACCATACATTGCAATGAATACACAGTGATGAGCCAAAGCAAAGAATGCATTCAAAAAAGATTTCTGGAAATTAATGAACAATTCAGTATTTGGAAAAACTATAGAGGATGTGAGAAAACGTGTAAATATAGATTTAGTGAGACAGGTAGGAGAAAAATGACGATTATGTAGATTAATTTCAGATTCAGCATTTGTTAGTCAGAAAATTTTCTATGATGCAAATTTAGTAGCTGTATATCAAAGGCAAATTAATGTAAAACTTAATAAACCTGAATATATAAAAGCATGCATTCTCGATCTCTCTAAATATTATATGTATGACTTTTGGTATGGATATCTTAAAAAGAAATATGATGATAAAGTAAAACTTTTATATACTGATACAGATTCTCTAATCATAGAAATTGAGATGGAAAATATATATCAAGACATAATCGATGATTGTGATTTATTTGATTTTAGCAATTATTCTAAAGATCATTGGGTAGTAAAAAATTTACCTAAAGATCAATGGATAATTAATGAAGAAGGTAAGTGTGTATTAAAAAAATACTAAAGTTATAGGTAAGTGAAAGGATAAAAATGGAGGAGATAGAGCTATTGGTTATGCAGGAGTTCATGCAAAATGCTATAGTATTATATGTGAAAATTCACGAAAAAATATGATCAAGGCTAAAGATCTAAAAAAGTCTTTTATTAAGAAAGAGCTTACCCATAAAATATTCGAGGACTGTATTTTAGAAGGAAAAGAGGATCAGCCACGAACTGCACAATTCCTCTGAAGTTACAGACATCAAATATATAGAATAAAGCAAACAAAGAGAAGTGTTAATCCACTAGATATGAAATTGTGGATAGCTAATGATAATATAATGACATATTTATATGGTGATTGTGAAATTCTGGAAGAATAAAAAATAAATTATATAGATCGATCACATGGAAAATTTTACTATTTTTTTTACGCAATGTAATCCTAGATCACAGTCATGAAATAATTCACAGCATTTTCTACATTTATCAAATAAAATGATATATCTGCTTTTATTGATTTTTTTACTAATTTTTTCTATGTGACGAAATTTACTTGTTTTTTCATAATCTAAAGATATATATATCATCACCTGTATTAAAGTGCACTACCGAAATTAATTTTTTAGGAGTATTAATTTGATCCATAGTATTTTATAAATATTTTTTATTATTTTATAGATATTCTAAATATTCCATATTTCTTTTTTCCAAATATCACGTTATAATGAGAGAGTGATATCATGTATTTTAAATTCACGAATCAGAGATCAGCTTAGAAGTTTGTGAAATATGCATAGCCAGCGATGAGAAAGATAGTTTATTGATTAAGATTGATAATGCGTCATTCTATATCTGGGATAATCGCTACACGATTTATTTCAGAATGTATCACAAATATATAATTAATTTCTTGGGTGAATATACTCTATTATGTGCCAGATAAATAACGCATGATATAATCGCACAAATGATCATCTCACATAAAATAACAAAGTATATATTTATATATGATAATTTAATCACCGGGACTGAGATAAATATGTGTTAAAGACATTAGCTCTGCTATAAAATATAAAAAAGTACATATAACGAAGTCTAGTTATCGTCTCGTGGAGTGGAAACTGTGGTACTATCTTCCATTTGCCTTTGCGATATAATAGTAGGTGTATTATATAGTAAAGATAAATTTGTAATTATTATATTATGTAAAAGTAACAAAGTTTCTATAAATTTAGTTACAACGGCTTCATCCGAAAATTGTACAGGAATCTCAACAGATTGTAAATGGTAATATCAGTGAACATTAATCATATCTTGTACTAGAAAATTCAAGTGCAATACATTACCTGCTACTTGCATACCTACAATATCAAACTGATCCTTATCTAGTTTAAGACTTTGATGTATCCAATATAGTCTGTCATTAGTTTTTCACCATAACTTAATCTCATCATCGGTCTTTTTTTGTAAACTAGAAATTAAACGAGAACATTCTACGTATATGAGTTCAAAAACTGTCTCCAAGTATTTCATTACAAGCATAATATCTGGACGTCTTCTCATGTAACCTTCTTCCTTTCTATTAGCACTTGCAATACTTTGCTTTTCTGATGTACTAATAAAAAAGCATCTCCGATGGGAAGATTTTTCAATGAAGCTCGAATAACAGGTACAATGACAGTTGATTGGTATGTCCCCTCATTTAATGTCTTTGCGAGTTCAGGATCAAATGCTGAATTATTCCAAATATCTTTCAAAACATTAAGAATTTCTTTGACCACGCATTTGATATTTTCTTTCAATTCTTTCCAAGTCTCATTGTATATTAATTTGACTGATTTCATTTTGATTTCACACCTCTTAAAATCTAGTACAAATTCTCTACATATTTTTTGAACCATTGGCATGGGTGTGAGCGTCATTTTACGAACAAGTTTCTAATGTAAATAATAAACGTTATTAATAGTATTAACAAAGGTAACGTGATCAAATATATATATAATTCTTTATCATAAACCCTTTTCTTAAATTTCCCGGTAATTCCTTTACGAGCTTCGATTCGTCGCTGATGACTTGACTGGCTGTAGGATTTTTTCAAGACAATGCCTCAATAGACATTGCTCTTACATCAGAATATAAATGTTGATATAGGGAGGTCGTATCTCTTTTGAGTTTTCTTTGAAGCTTAATCATATTGTTTCTGATTTGGTCTGAGCTAAGAGATTTTTCTTTATTTGTTTTAACAACCTCAAGATCATACAATGTGAAGACCCTCTCAAAAACATCTTCAAACTAAAAAATAAATATACATTAGTTTTCAGTAATAAAAAAACTCATCATTAAAAAATGTATATATTATTAGTACATATGCAAAGTTATCATTTTTGTGCGACTGTCACATCAATGAAATCCTGTGTGATACTAATTTTCTACATAACAATATAATCCCATTATCCTCTGTACAGATGATAAATTTTTCTCATTAATAGGTTAATAGGATAAATTACATTACTGCATAATAGTCTATAGCTTAGATATCTCTTCATTGTTGAGCAAGTGTTTATCGGGAACGGGTTAATAAGATAATTGAGCTACTTTTCAGTATGTGAATCTAATAGCCAACCACATAATATCATCATATAATGAAATGATTTTGTAAAAAAAATCAATAGCTAACCTGTGAATGAATTCTAAAAAGCTTTCATTAACACAAAGACCCATCCAAACATAAATTACTAAGATAACCAACAACTCGGTCTACAATCGTTCTCAACTCATTTTGCGGAATTCAGGGATTTTCTTCTAAATCTTGGTGAACAACGGACGTGACATTTATATGACACTCTTCGACATTAATCAAAAAATTATGAATTTTGGTTTGTAAATCAGCAGACATATTGATTAGTCAAGTTTGAAGTAATAAAAGCTTTGTTATATCGCAAGTAAAAAAATAAATGAACAACCACAATGCAAATATACTGTCCTTTTAAAACGCTCTCTCCGCTCATTTCTGGTCTCATTTAGGTATGGGAATGGTAAATTCAGAGAATGTGAAACTGGAGTGATGCAATGCACAGTGAAAAAACTTTTCACAAAGAAAATACATATGTCATGAGTTGGACAATCAGATTTGGAATTTGTGGCAACAATTAATGAGTTACACAATTACATCATGCATAAAAAGTTCCATGATCTTTGATTTTATTCTGTGGTATAGTATGTGATGTGTTGATCAAACATCTGTGGTACGCAATCGATTTCGGGTTACATGATTACATCATGCATGAAAAGTTCTATGACCTTCGATTTTATTCTGTGGTATATGTATTACGGAGTACGTGCCTGATCGAACATCTTAATCTGTATTACACAATCGATTTTTCAGGCATGTGGTTTTTTACTAAACATATTAATATTGTCATATAACAAAAAATATAAAAAATAATTTTTATTACTTTTTCAGACGAAATCTAGATGTATTAATATCCTGCTTCACAAATTTCTCTCCTCATTTATAGGTTCCACTTGAGGTGGCTGACTATCTCCAACGTCAGGCATACTAAGATCACTGTCACTCCGTGATGTAGATGTATTAAGTTTTGAGATCATATTTGCTAACTCAGATGACGATGAGTATGTCGCATTATTTAAATTCCCACCCGCATTATTTGTGTTATTGCTTGAATTCCCGCCCGCATTATTTGTGTTATTGCTTGAATTTATAAATGAAGCCGACGAAAAGGAAAAGAATTGGTGGTTGAGTAAAGATTCTTTAGGTTCTCTGGGTGTTGAAGAGGAAAGGTAAAACGTTAGTATTTACTTATTACATTTGTTTCATGCTAAATTTTGATTTACCTTGTCAGATTACCTCTGGTTTTAGCAAGAGATGTAACATTTAGTCAGTTCGCAAAACGAGTTGAGATTATTAAGGCCAGGAGGTTTTTTGACTATCGTAATGGAACTATAACAATTATTGAGTTACCAACTGGCGAACACGAAGTTACACACTCCAAATTTAGTCGTCAGTTTACAAGTGCATTCAATAACGCACTAGCACAAGATGATATAGAGGACTGGGGTGCAAAAAGTAAGTCCTAATAAGAATTTAGCCTGCGTACATATTTTGCAGTGCTAACTAATTTTATTGCATCCAGGTTTATACACTAATCTTCTATCAGATGAATATGAAGAGCCGGACGCATGCTTTATACCCAAACGTCTACTCGATCCACTGAACCCAGCACAAAATCCTTGTGATCGAAATGTTTGTATTATTTGTCAATATTATTATTAATTTGTTAGATATGGATTTCATTGTGAATTTATAATTTTTTTAGGGGAACCCATGGCCTACTATAATTCTTGAAATTGCTTCCTCAGAAACACTTCAACATGTAAAGGATAAGATAAATGATTATTGGCTAGTCCCAAATCGCTGTGAAGATGTGATTGTTATTAAAATAGGTACATGGAGTGGGAGACGTCGTAATAACCAGACTAGACGCCCTTTGCGACGTTTGCGGGTTAGTATAATTTTGAGATTTTTTTTCACACTTCATCTGCTTAATCTATTCTTTTGTATTCTTGACAGTGCCTAAAATTTTGTCGGACTGCAACTCTTCAGCAGAATCCTAATGCTACAACATTTGATGCAATTGAAGAGGTAGAATTAGTGTGTTTTTACAGTTGTTATTCTCTTGCTTGTTTAGCTCATATTATTACTTGTCACTTCAAGATTGAGTTCGGTTCTGTATATGCTAATGGAAGGGAAAGCCATTTTTGTACTGGGCCTCACATGAAATGGATTACAATCAACCGTGATTGTATTTATGCTGGCTGTCCTCAACCTCCACAACTCCCTAACCTTTTTTCTGTCATTTCTTCAGTGCCTTTCAGGCCTCCTCAATTTCCTTATCCTCTTCAAACACCAGGCGTTGCGATCGACCTATATGATATTCAACAATCGATTTTTCAAGCTATGGGTCCAAATTGAAAGTGCAAGAATAATTTGCAATACAAAGTTTAAATTTATATATAAAATAATAAAGCGAAGCATTGTTACATAGTAATAATGATTCCTCTCTAGCATAGCAATTTTAGATAAAATAAATAAAAAGTATAGATGCTTAAAAAAATAAAAACCTGTAAAACGAACAACTTTGATTGTCTGATGTGGGGCTTGTAATGCGAAATCTGGGTTTGTTCCATTATATGTAATCCTATCTGTGATGAAAAAAAGCAGTGATTA